CAGGAAATTCAGAATGTTGCAAGAAACCTACCACCACATGCTCGCTTTAAAGCTCCAGAAGTCCGAACTAAATTGGTAGGCGAGGAAACCAAACAGTCCGACCCAATCGCTCTTATGAACTCATCACTAGAGACCGTTGATTCTTACCCCCAAGAATGGATACATGTCTATACTGATGGATCAGCATTTAAAGCTACCATTAAAGCAGGTTACGGAATCTACATAGGTTATCCCGATGGATCTGTTGAAGAGATTTTTGATGCATGCGGAGAATTCTGTTCAAACTATGAAGCTGAAATAATTGCACTGGAAACAGCAGTATACCACCTAAAGACTTTAATGGATGTTTACCCTTCAAAGGTCCAAAATATTGTCATCTTCACAGTCTGCCCTTCAAGCTCTGGAGGGCAGTGAACGCTGCAGAACTGACATAGCCAAGATAATCCTGGATGCTGATCAGCTTATTACCTCATACAACATCAGAATAGTGATGCAGTGGATTCCAGGTCACTCCGGCACACCAGGTAATGACAGAGCTGACAGATTGGCAAAGAAAGGAGCAACACAAGAACAACCACCTACAGTGACAACCCTCCAGACAGCAAAAACACTGATAAGAGCTATAAACAAAGAGACCTGGTTGAACAGATGGGCCATGGGAGACACTGGAAGAGAGGTTTATAGACATATGTCTGGCCCTGATCCTAATGACAGCATTAACCATCTAACAAGAGGGACCAGGCCACCATCTTCAGACTTAGAACGCAACATACTCCACTCAATGGACACCTAAACAGAATACAGCCACAACACTCCCCAGAGTGCCAGCTATGTAACTACCCCTACGAAACTGTTGAACACCATCTCTTTGAGTGCCCAAAACTCAGTGAGACAAGAAGAACGCTACTCCCTCCGAGACCAGACAAGTGGAACACCTTGTACGGAGGAAAAGAACAGCTTGTGAAAACATGCAAATTCCACTACATGGCATTGGGCCAAAGGGCGAAAGCTCATGCGCCGCTGGATCGATAACAACAACAACAACAAAACCTGACACTGAAAGACAGAAAAGAACTAGAGAAAAAGAAGAAGCAGAGGCTGCTTGTATTTTATACTTTGAGCAAAAATAATTTGATCTGCAGTGAGAAAGATCTGTCCACTTACTGTACATGTCATTTTTCAGTTTGCTTCATCGTCTGAAATGCTTCTTAGTGGCCAGTCATTTCTTTGCCTTATCTACAGTTTTATGTTGTTTTGATGGGTTTTTCATGCAAACATGGTTGGTTCTTATAAGTAGGTCCACTGGACATTATTGGAGATGTGTAGCTGCATTTTGTGGGCAATAAGTCTAGGTGGCTGTTTTAAAACCAATTTATCACAAACATGAATCAACATGCCTGTTTCAAGTCACATTGAAAGGTGAAAAAACTACTTGAATTTAAAAGGGCCAAACACTGAAATTAATAGTATGTTAAAAGGCTATTTTAAAACTAAGTGATAAAGATTACCATCTGTAAACTCCTGTAAAACAAAATTGTTGTTGTTCATTCAGAACTTGAGTTTTGCATACTATGAGAAGAAAAGGGCTGTCCATTCTATCAGAGAGAACAGAGTCTGACCAGAGATGACTACCACCTACTTGGTCGTCATGGGCAGGTCATTATTCTATGCCTCAGGACAGGACATAACAAACTTAACAAGCATATGCACATGCTTCATCTAAGTAGTTTACCACTGTGCCCTCTTGGGCTGTGTGTGGAGACTACACAACGTCCTGCCCTGTACAGCCCATTAAGAAGAGAATACTGGCCCACTGAGTCAACACTGCACTTAAAACTGTATGGAACTAAAATGGAACTCCTGAAAATGGTCAAGTTTGTCAAAAAAAACTTGTAAATCAGAAAGCAAACATAAGAAAAAGAAGAAACTTTTTGCATTCACATCCATTTGCCAGATCTGGCTTATTTGTATGCAAACTGTTGGTTCCTTGCCTCTCAGGCAGATGCAGTCTGACGTAGAAGGAAAATCTCTAATTAGTTGACTATTATGACATGTTTGTAAAGGGGGCATTTGACCGGTCACCTTTTTGGAAGTTACAAATAAGTGGTTAAGAAAACGAGCGGCTGGCCTAATGATTAAATTTAAAATGCGGGCTCTCATAGGGGAAAACCAGATTTTAATCCTCAGTAAGGTTTTGGGTTTTTCTGTCTGGGGCCAAAATAAAATCCTAACCTGCACGTCCATGGTGACTGCACTCCTAGAAGGACCCCCCACCTACACCACAAAAAGTGGTGTATAAACAGGCAGTAGTGACAGGTTTTTACATTTTTTTTAGAAAATCATAAATAATTGAGTGCTTTACATGTTTAAGTTCTTTTTATTTATCTCAAATTGTATTTGATTGTTTCTGTGTTATCATAAAACAAATGTTATAAAAATAGTTTTTAAAAGCACATATTTAAAACAGTTCTCAACTTGTAAGGCCATTTAAATTTACTTTTATTGCGACACTGTGGCAGGGCTATTCGACTATGTTTACTCAGGGCCCATATTGTTAAAATGGGGATCATCTTAAGCCAGAGGCCCTAGCCCCAGCTTAGACAGATCATTAATACAATACAGTTGACAATAATCCATGGGCCACTTGCTGAGCCTCTGTGGACCAGATTCAACCCGCGAGCCACCAGTGAAATAGCCCTGTTTTATGGCTTAAAGGTTTTGAAAGCAGATAACAATCCTTAACATATCAGAGTTCTATTTCTGCAGCCAGTGGTTTAGAAAAACAAAACAACATTTAAATGGCTTTTGGAAAGTAAACTGCACAATGAAGAATTTGGTGCCTCACCAGATAATGTTTCCAAATTAAGCAGTGGATGTGTGTATCTGCTGCAGCCAACCTCCAGTATGAGACGGCACAAAATTGATATCTGTTCATTGCTCATTACAGGATCAGCATTATTTAACATCTGGCTTATCCATAAGTGGAAACATAAATAGAGGTTGACTACCCAAGAGATGGATATATTGAATGAATGTATGAATGAATCAAGAATTGAAATCACTGCCCTTAGGACATTGCTACATATGCCCCATCCCATTCTTCAGTAGCCAGTGAACTTGACAGGCTAATGTTTCCTGTTGCAATCTGATGAAAAGTCTTCTGAGCATTATATTGAGTGAGTTTATGATGGTAAAGAAATCAGGAAACATTAAAAATAAATAATAGTTATCTTCATGCTATAGTGCTAATGAAATTAAAAAAAAAAATCAATCATGTCTTTTTTTTTTTTTTAGCCAGACTGCCGTGTTTGACAACAAGAAAGCTATTCGTGGAGGAGTTCCTGTTGTCTTTCGTAAGTAGATGATTTTTTTCCCTCCGGAATATTAATCCTAACTTAAAACACTTAGACTTCATGATATTGGACAAAATTAACATATTTTATGATGTGGTCAGTCAAATGATGAATTAAGAATTGACATCATATAGCACTCAAGGCACTCTCATTAGCGCTCCATCCCAATCTTCAGCAGCGAGCAAAGAGTTCCAGTTCTGATGGCACCAGTAACTGTCTGATTGTATATCCGTCTTACCTTTTCCTTGAGTGTTGAGCGTCGACCAGAACCCCTGGTAACTGCTCGTAGAGCCATTCTCCTCAGACCTTAATGATCTCTGTACCTCAGCACTGTTCACTCGCTCGCAAAAGGCCCTTACAACATCCAGCTTGTCATATATCAGTTTAACAACAAGTGGTGCAGAACCGGTGAGTCTATCTGCCTGCTCATTTCCGAACACACCGACATCACCTATGGAAAATATCCGAAGGATGCTAACTAACCAGGACCTCCTAAGTGATGCTTGCCACTCTGTGCGGCGCATGCCTACCTCCATCTTTCTCAGCATGCTCTGTGAGTCAGTTGCAATCACGGCATGTGTGTACTGCTGATTTTCAAGCCAGCGGAAGGCAGCTGTGACTGCCTCCACCTCCATTCTTAAACTAGACTTTGTGATATGTTCTGCCAGGGTTTGATACACTATGTGATATTCATTCGTTTTTTTTTTTAAACCCATGCACTTCATCTGCCCCTCAACACAGAGTCATCTTTTAGGCAAATGTGGTCTGTCAGTGGTTAACTAAATATTATTTGTAGATTAAATGTTCTATATGTCTTTGATATTATGTTCTGCTACATATCTTTGATATTCCCAAATGTCTGTCTTGTCTTTATTAATAGCAAATTTTGGCCCATGGCCCTTGGGTCCCCAGCATGGATTTGCAAGAATCAAAAGATGGACTTCAGCTATACCACCTACTAAGGTAATAATGTTTTACCACCCTGGATCAGTGTGTCTCACATGTAATAATAATCTGTTTCATGTTTCTGCAGAATGAAACAAAAAGGTATAGATTATAATGTATTATATCTGTAATAATTCTAAATAAATATTGAATAATAATAAATATCAACATCATCATCATCATGTAGCAGGTCCTTTGCAAAATGTCGCTCTCATCACGGCCTGCCTGAAAGAAACTCGGTCTCTGGCCAGCTCTCCGGCCTCATGTACTTTCATACTGAGGGAGTCACTTATATCCTGTGCCCATCTTCGTGTTGGTTGGCCCCTGCCCCTATTTCCTGGTACCATGCCTTCTGCTGTTATTTTTTTCCAATCCGTTATGGCGCTTGATATGACCAAAATGTTTCAGCTTCCGAGACAGGGTGCTGTTTATTAGCCAATCTTTTTGATGTTTAGATCTTTCAGAATGTCAGTATTTCTCCTCTTCTTTGTCCAAGATATTCTGAGAATCTTTCTATAGCATTTCAGCTCAATAGCAAAAATAAATATATGTTAATATAATATAATTGTTTAAAAAATATAGATTATATCTATAATAATTATTTGCAGAAAGAAACACTTGCGAATACCTCACAAGGTATCCAGGCCTAGTGAATAGAAACCAAAAACTACACTGTGGTAGTAGTTTTGGTTGTTTCAGGGATAAATTTGCATGCCTGCTGTTTGTCCACTCCAGGATTAAGGTCCATCCGCAGGATTAACACCTCAGGGATGAGAACCCTTGTAAGCCTCATTAAACCGTAGGTAAAACTGGGCCTCCAAATTTTACAAAATACCTGGATGTCAGAAGCAGGCAGGGATATGGGAAAAACTGGGATAACGATAATTGCACCCAATATGTTAACGTTCAAGGGCCTCTGACAGCCAGGTCCAGTCTTTGCCCTTTACATGTTTCTTGATGAACCTGGTGGATTTATTTCTTTTAACAGAAAGAGGCTCTAGTTATCCACCATGGTAATAACAAGAAGGGAAAGATAAAATCTCCGATTACATACAGATAGTCTTAGTTTTAGTTGAGGTTTCACATAACAGCAATTGGGTTTCCCCATACTTGCTCAGTTCCTGTGCCAGTGCGGAATACATAAAGATAAATAATATTAAAATCAAACAAAGGAAACTTGGGTATACAAACTTCTACTCCAATGTACTGAAGGAAAAATTACAGTCTAGAATAGTCTGGAAATAAAGTATACTCTGCCCTACAACATCTGCTGAAACCAAATGCTGTATCTTGTCACACAAAAATCATGGTGTATAAAATACTTATAAGACCAGTTGTCTTATAAAGCTAAAACCTGGAGTACAGCTAAAAGAGATGAAGCCTTATCGTACATTTTTGAAAGAATTCTAACAACGATCTTTGAACCCATCAAAGATGCAGACAGCAGGGAATAGAAAGGAAGAGGCAGCAGCAATGAAATTCATAATCTGTTACATTGATCCTTTATAGACTAATAGACTGAAATGCGTGAGGCATATGGAGAGAATGGCTGATAACAAAGAGACAAACCCTCTGTCCACAAGGGAGTTGAATGGCCACAGACCACAAGGCAGACCATAAAGATGATGGAGGAATAGCAGCCAAGCAGACCTACAAACACTTGCAGTGACCAATGGAAAATAATGGGCCAGTAACTGAGGTGCAGCAGGCTTGGAGTGTTGAGGAGGAGAAATAAGAAGAGTGATGAAAGGCAAGTTACTACCATCTGTATGTATCTCATTGACTCAGGTAAATGAGGCTTCTGAACCTTGGCTGATAGCTCATCTAGGAGACAGTATATGCCTGTTCCAAAAGAAGGTAGTAAATGACTTTTCTGAATTCCTGCTGTCTTGTAGGATGAGAAAGACTTTAGGACTAGACCCTGAGATGAAAAACTAGGAATCAAGTCACTGAAGCAGTCTAATATTTACCTGAACACTATTCTGGTAACTCATGCGGTGTGATTGATCCTTAATTGATATAGCTTTCATCATTGGATCTGATTAAAGGAAAGATGCTTTTTGAGAGTAACAACTTGTTCTCTCAATCAGTTTGCCACAATCTGAGCCATAATTGAAAAAAACAAACAAAAAAAAAGCAGGATTATTCAAAATCGGGGATACACTTTTACTGATGTATATTTAATTAAGTATTCATTACATTTTAATAATATACATACAAGAGAGAGGGGAAGGTTTACAAACATACTTCTTATTCTTCTTTGTTCACCAGCTGTAAGCTCCAGCAGAAAGTCCTGGTTGGTCATCCATTTAGACTTTAGCTTTGTGCCAGGGCCTGAGTTTTACCTGTACATCCATTTTACTAGCTAATATGTGTGCAGTTGATTGTTCCTTGCCATTCAGGCAGATGCACTCCGACTTTTAAAGAAGCTTCCAGTTAGACACTCATGACATGCTTTTTTGAGTAGGCAGTGGTTCTGTTTTCATTTTTCCAACAGTGGGACTCGGAAACAGTGGGGCCAGTGAAACAATCTTACAACAGAGGTTATGAATGTTTAATATGACTGCTGTCTGCTGCTCTGCAAACATCTAAGCTGTAGCCGAGCTCATCTCACACATGAAGAAGCATCTCTTGCGTAACTGAGTTCACCGCAGCTGTGATAAATTTTGCAGGTAGAGGTGGTACATACACGGCTTCTTTGACATACCCCCACAGGAAAAATTCACATGGTGTGAGATCAAGAGATACATGAATGAAAGTTTATCCATCTTTTTTAACAATCCTGTATAATCAGAGGAGAGAACTCATCTGTGAAATGCCAGTCCGTGTGATGCCCGGGGATAGAACATATCCTATAAGGCAACTAATTTGGAGTTTGTCAAAATCAAATATGTTGGGCTGAAAGGTACAGGTAATGAAATTTATCAGCAAACAATAACACAGCATACCAGCTGCTCTTTTGTAGGGTGAATGCAGATGAAGAAAAAAAAAATACCCTGAGACTGAAGATAGGTGGAACAGATTTACATCTGACCAGTTATTACTATCCAACTGACCTTAGGCACTAGATGCAAATCTTGGGAAAAAAGACAGAATTATTGGTTCTGTGTAGAGGTTTTGAACAGTCACACACAGAGTTGGGGCTACGATCACATGGAATGGAATTGAAACAAGCTGGAAACTGGCGTAAGAAAAGTAGACTTATCTTGATTAAACTTGCCGGCGGATTTCCAATCTTCTATTCAGGATTGTGGCTTGCTGCTGCTACATCTTACCTAGTTTTTCACTCTGATGACTTACTACTGTTTTTATTTATATAGTAAAGTCAATATCCCTTTCACGCCTTTAGACGCATCAGGCATATGGGAAGAGCATCCATGTTTGTACAGACCAATCGGCACTAGGTGAGTAATGTGTTCAATATTACACCAGCCATCTTTACTTTCCCAGGACATACATCCTGATACCCATTTTAAGCTGGGTTGACCTGCGACGCTGCATACCATGATAAAAATCCACACAGCCAGCATTGGGTTTCGATCGTGATACGTTGGAATTACGAGTCGGACTCGCAACGTCTAAACCACGGACGCAGCGTTATTTATATAAATATGTACAAATATCCATACACATGTTAAAACTTATGCTTCTTTTTATTTGTTAACTTTTGATGCTAAATCAGGACCACAATGGAGATGTTATTGCAATCCTTGTTCTACAAGATGATGAAGAGACCAGAGCTATGTGGAATTACAAGTATTGTACATTTTCTAATACTTTTTATTTATTTTTTGGGTAAAAAATTTTGTATTTGTGAAACTTTACTGAAAGTGCAGAATAGTGAAGTACTGGCTTTTACTCTCCAAAGACATGTTGAAAGTTTTGTTAGGACCACATTTTCTTTGTCCCAGTGGCACCCTGGAGATCTGAGGTTTTTTACCACCCACCCCTAAAGAATCCATTTGCATACTGTGAGTCACATTGCGCATGTGGTTCTAGACATATATTGTTATAAGCCAGTTGGTATTCAGTTTTCCTCACAATGATTCCAGGGCCCCATGGAGTGGGGGGTGAGGTGGGGGAGAGGGGAGAGAATTTGACCCCTTGCAAAAAAGCAGCATGTTGTAAAATGTGACTAATTATGGGGAGGTTTCTTCAGAGTCAGAGTGCATCTGTTGGAGAGGTGAGGAACTAACAGTCTGCATTCATACTAGCCAGATCTGCTAAATGGATATGCCTGCAAAATTCAAGCTCTGGAACAAGTCCAGAATCCAGAAATGGACAAATAACTATAACTTTCTGCTGAAGTTTACATCAAGTGAATTCAAAGAAGAAGAAAAATCATTTTAGGAGACACATGAGTATGATAATGATTAACTTAATATTTTAGCCTGCATGTCTTCCTCCTTTGTTTTCTTGTATTACTTCTTGTTGTTGAAGTTGAAAGTTCTGTTTTGTTTCTGGCTTGGTTGTGCAAAGTTACCCTGTAACATGTTTGTTTGTATAGAGGTGCATGATTTGTTAGATACCTGAAATTCAGTATTTCTTTCATTCAGTGTTATCTTTATGGCTAACTCTGTACAGGTTCAAGCTGGTTTACACAGTCACACTGACAGCAACATCCTTATCTGCAACCCTGGTTGTCCACAATACAGGTAAAAAAAAAAAAAAAAAAATTTTGTTTACATGGATTATGTGGGTGGTCAACAATTTAGAATACTGGAAGTGTTTCTTCTTCTTTTCATTTTCCTGCCTGTGATTTGGATATGAGAAGGCCAAAAGCCTTTGTGAAGACTTGAGCTATGCATGCCCTCCTATACAACTTGGTTCCACTAGAATGCTAACTGGCCAGACCTAGGACTAGGACTGTCGCATGTTAACGAAGGTGTCTGCAGCACACGTTCCTTTTTCTGTTGTGCATGACAACATGGACAACGATCTGAGTTCATCTTAGAGAATGTGCTGCAGCACATGTTCAGTTTTCTGTTTTGCATGTCCACATGGGCAATGATCTGAATTCCCAGTCTCAGTTTTCTAGTATATATGGCTGCAGAGTCTGCTGTGTGAGTTGTGTACAAGTTTTTAAAAGTGAGTGTATAAGCTTCATTGCATCAAGTCTTATCTCATGTGGATCAGTCTCTGCCTGCAAAACAGCTGACATCTGCTGAGAATGTAACTAAAGGATCAGTTTATATGCCTTGAGGCATTTTGGGTATTTAGTAAAAAGACCCTTTTCCACACCATTAGGCATATAGAGCTAGATCTATATTTTTTTTTCTAGACCAATGGGTATTCAGTGGGTACCAGTCAACATCATGCTGGCCAACTTTTCTTCCTAGGACTTTACCTGGTGCCTGTAAAAGGCTGCGTCAACCTGGGAGCCAAGGTCATGTTTGAAAAATATGGCTCCATGCAGATTTGTTCCCACGACCTTCGGATCCACAGAAAAGATCGGCTGTAATTCAAGAGTTTAAGTACTCAGATTTATGTACAACCAACAGCTCACGGTCGTAATTGCCAATGCTTGGAGGGTTTACCACAATCATCCTAATCACTTGCGTTTTTTTTAGACTGATGGTGAGTCCATGCTTCCCATGCTGTGTTGAAGCTGTTGAAGCAACGCTAAAGTAGCCTCCCCAAGGCACAGGTCTGTGTCAGCGCTGGGCTGTCAAAATTTGTACTTTTGTACAAATTTGATACCTTTTAACCTTTGCTGAGCAGAATTGTACTTTTAGTACCATGCCCAGTGTTTTGGTACGTTTTATAAATTTTACATCAATATTTTAAATTTTGGCATTGTTAAAAAAAAAGTGATTAGGCAGTGGCCTGAGAAGCTACCAAAAAAAAAGTTTTTTTTTCCTGCTTTTTCCTGTAAAAAGTATTTTAAAAAATAAATGCATCGATAAGATCACAAATCCTTACTCTTTGACATTAATTGCACCAACTGGTAGTCGTCACAACAGTTTTGTAACAAAACTGAGCAAAAAAATGGTACTTCAATCATGTAATTGAGTGGACAAAAGCAATTTCAGTTCTGATTAAAATATAAGATACTCCAGTTATATATATATATATATATATATCTGTGCGTGTGCGTGGGTGGGTGGGGGTGTGTGCATGTGCGCTGCGCGTGCGTGTGTGTAAAAAAACTGTGTGTGTGTGTGTGTAGTTGCCTTCTGGTGTGTTTCAGAACTTTTTCAAAAAATATTTGGTACTTTTCTGGAAAAAAAAAACAAACAGATCTGGCAATCTTAGTCCAAGTATGTTGAAGTGGTATACATGCTGTTATTAAAACAGATACTGACCTCATAATCACATCTATCCTGTAGTGTCCTGGAAAATCTTTAAAAGTGTATTTTTTTGTTTCTTTTTAAGATAAGAAAGCCTTGGGATTCACATGTCTCCTGCATACTTACCTCAGAGTGGCTGACATCAGAACAACCTCTGTGACAGGGTTGCAAGGCTTAGTTTATAGTGACAAGGCAAGTATTACAGTGAACTATAGATTGTTATATTTTTATTGATCTCCCCGAGTAGAAAAGACTTAACTTGAAGACACAGCTCAGATCCTACAAATGCAACATTTTCAGAATACGATTGTACAACAGTGAATGTTGGAAAAGGACAGCAGGAATTATACATACACTGGAGACTTTTCTAAATAAATGTGTACTGAGAATCCTGTGAAAATTTTGGCCAAACAAGATTACATGTGAGGAACTGAGAAGGAAAACAAATGTTCTTCATCAGTAAACATTATCAAGGAAGAAAATGGAGATGGATTTAAAAAAAAAAAAATAGAAATGACTGTTAGGTATTTTGTGTGTGTTTTAAAAAAAAAAAATTAAACAAGGCCTGCAAACATAAACAAGTTAGGGCATGCTCTGTTTGAATCCTGACAAAGTCATACATCCTTTACACTGAATTTTGCAGTGTTTGTCTTTTTAAAGAAAAAATAAACAAACATTGTGATTTGTGCATTTTATTGGAAAAAGTTTCTGTTTGTGCTTCATTATATGTTAATGTAACTCAGTAGCAGTGCACGTGACGAGCGTGAAAAAAAATATGGTAGGCAGTCAAATGTGCAATTTATTGTTTGTGTCGGCATTATTTAAATTTATGTCAGATAAACATTGCTTTTAGTAAATAAACACATGAAAGAAACTATCATTTTTCTACTGCAGTTGGCTGGTGGCAAAGAAAGTAGAGAGAACAGCGAACATGTTACAGTTAACGAGTGCTGTGACAGGCAAGCATTATTTGTTTTGTTTTGATAATTTCTCTGTACTTTATCTTTAATGTTGAGTCATTAAGACTAAACTAATTGATGTAAAGTGTGTGCAGTTATATTTTCTTCTTCTTTTGCCTTCACTCTTGAAAGGATACTTGTATGTTGTGTTTTGGTTTACAGCTCAGCATTATTTACACCTTTCTGTCCAAAACACCTGATTTTAGCAGTTTGTCCACAGTTGGTCAATTTTTTCCGGACATGATTATAAGAGGGGCAGTGATTCTGTTTCTTCTTCCCATGTGGGGCTCTAGAACCACACAGAAGATACACTTATGTGTTTTAAACACTTATGTGACCGCTGGGGCAGAGAAATGAGGATGATATCAGAATAATTTTTAAAAAAATTTCAAACCAGAACATTTTGTAAAAGTCTAGCCAGTTACCAGGATATTGTCCACAGTTCCAGTTAAGTGTTGATTTAAGTGTTGATTGAACTTTTCTTCTTCTTCGTGTTCATTGGCTATAAACTCTGGGGGGAAGTTCCGGTTATTCATCTACCTATGGATTGTAGTCTTTTCCTGGAACCTGAGTGTTGCAGGAACATCTGTTTTACAGATCTGGCTTAATTGTTTCCAGACTTCTGGCTTCTTGTCTCTCAGACAGATGCACTGTGACTTTCAAAGGAAGTCCCCAGTAAGTCGACTCACGACTGTTGTTGGGGAGGCAGTGTGTCTGTTCTTGTTTTCACCACAGTGGGACCTGAAACTCACATGGGGAGATCGGTCTAACTATTCTGATCCTAGCATCGAATCTAATATCACAGAAGCTCACATAGACAAAAACTGGTTATCTTGTTGAAACATTTCTAGAGCAACTGCAAATTAAAAAAAAAAAAAGAATGAAATAAAGTGTTTTAAAAAACATGCTTAAAATAAGTTGTTAATATTTGCTGTCGCGTGGAAGGTCGAGGTTTAAATCTTCAGTAAGATTATGGACATTTTTATGTTGACGAGAAAAATACAAGTTTTCATCTGCACCATATGTGGTGACTGCTTAGTAGCCATGCAACCCTAAGTATGGGAGCTCAAGGTGCCTCCCATTCTATACCACCCTAAAAAGTGGTAAATACAGACTGAAAAGTCATTTCTTATAAAATCGTCTAATCATCGCTGTATTTGAAATAATTCCTGAATCCAGTATACTGAACTTCACTAAATGGTTTTTTCAGAAGTCACTGTTTACATTTTTTTTTAAAGTGAAAAGAAAGCTTTTTAAATTAAATAAATAACAATATGTTGGCAACAATAATGGACGTGATATAAAAACTATGACAACGGGAAAAGCCAAATATTGGTTAACTTTGTATAGACATTAATAAAATAACATCCCAAGAGGATGACATACAATTTTTGTCAGTGTAACACTAGAGAGAGAAAGACAGCAGACCAAAGGTGTTGGACAAAAGGTGTTGCAGGTACATGAAGCCTGACATCATTATACAAACAGCATTTGAATAATTGTTCAATCATTTTCAGTTTCCTTGTAATAAAAATGTATTAAATTGTAGTTGACATTTCACTGTTACGTTTATTATATTATTATTTAAAGAAAGCACATTAACAGGGTATACAGTAAACATAATTTGTGCACAGAAAAGTTATATCTAGACATTGTCAATAACTCTTCAGCAGTGTAAGAGTCGTTATCTATCGAGTGTTGATTTGATTTGACTTCCAGGGTTTACAAAGATGCACCAAAGACTTTATACGTCACAAGTGGTCCTGAACCAGCAAGAACCTTTGAAGTAACTACGTTTAACTTTCCAGATATTGGTGAGCAAATAGAGTTTGACTTTTGTGTATGCATTTTATTTTGTAATTAATAACATTCTGTTTTTTAATGTTGACGTTCATCATTCTTAATGTGAGAATTTACCAAATGCTGCTATGCAGCTGTTAGTTGAGTATCCTTTACAGGACATTGCAGAACCAACCCCAGCATTATTTGGCTGTTGTGGTTGTTTTGGGGGAAAATTTACGTCCAGTAGTTTGCAATTGCTTACTGTGTAAGAATGTTAATTTTGCAATAATAAAGTTAGCTCATTGACAAGCAATTTTCTTCTATTTGCTGACTTGTGTAATATTAAGATTGTGTTTAAATAACTTTTTAACTGCAACATTTATTAAATTATCTAACTGTTTTACCCTGAGAAGTCACAAAACCAACTCTTCCCATTTCTGGCTGGGTTCTTTTACCAGTATGCCACTTTTCTGACATGTTTGTAGTGACATGTTTAAAAGATTTGTAGGTTATGCTACTGGCCATTCTCTTGCCATTGCAAACATAGTGCAGTCAGCATATGAAATATTAACTCTAAAATAAGCATGGGGTAGGAGAGAAGGCTTTAAGTAAAATAGTTTTTTTCAAAGCCACATACACATCAAATGTTCCTACAAGGCTATGTGATATAGGTCACAATGTCACGGCACTTGTCACTTGATACACAGGTTATTTTAGGCTTCACCTTGTTTATATTTATTGATAACTCCCTTCGTATTTATTTATATTTAAAAAAAAAAAACAGAGCTATAAAAATAAATTTTTTAATATAATTATTTGTGACCTGTGTGGAAAAAAAATTGTTTCATTGTTTCTGGAATTTCAACTTGGTCATGACACATTTTTAGTCTTCCTTGGGCAAGAGGGTTAAGAAGAATAATGGTACCTCATTTTACTTTAAATGTTCCAAAAGAGAGATTATACAATATTATTATCACAGTTATTTGAAAAGTACACTAAAAATGAATTAAAGTTTACAACCTCTACTCCTACAGTCTATAACAGTCTGTGTCTTTACCATTTCGTTGTTCATAGTTTTGCATTCATGTCTGTGCAAAAGAGCAGGCCATGCAATTTTTTTTTTTTAAAGCGTATGTTTGCACTTGTGATTTTTTTGTTTTCATCACATGGCACATTTTTTTAATGCATGAAGGGGAAGAAAAATAAATAGCTTAAAGACACCTCCCCCACCCTCTCCATCTCACCACACCTACAACAAAAATTGGCAGTGCAAAAATGCTATTTTTAAATATTTTTTAATGATACATTCTTTTGGATGTAGTGTAGTTTTTCTTCCTCTCCATGTAATATCTGCTATCAGATGTCATAGTTCAAAATAAAAATATTTTTAGTTTATACTGTATGTATACTATATATATATATATAGTAAGCTTACGTCTTCTATATATTCTGTCATTACAGTTTTGTGGAACCCATGGCAAGAAAAGGCCAAGGAAATGGCTGATTTTGATGATGAAGGTTACAAAGAAATGATTTGCGTAGAACCTGGAAAAGTCTCCAACCCAGTTACTTTAGAGGCTGGACAGCAGTTTGAGTGCAGTCAGACTCTCAGATCATTATTGTAGAGAATATAAGAGTCTGCTTTGAAAAATATGTTATTGCCATATGATAGCACTATTGTAGGAAAGATTTCATGTTTAAATGTTTCATTGCTGAAGTCATTTCAGCAGAAGTAAGTGTGTGGTTTGTTTGAATTTGGTATATGTATCACCTATCCTGACAATTAAGCCTGAGATTCGATGCACAAATAAGGTTCTTCTTCTTCTTCTTCTCTTCCACCTTGTACCTCATCGAAGTGTCGGGGGGAGATGTAATGTTCATTGATGGGCTCTGTCAAGAGCACTATTAAGACTGATGTTCATTTCTGAAAGGCTGTTCTTAATGCCATCACTCCATATTTTCCGAGGTCTTCCTCTCGCTCTATACCCGTTGTAACGTTTTAGTGTGGCTCACTGTGGCAGATAGTACCAGGGTATTCTTTTTAGGTGTCCAAACCACTTCATTTGTTGTTCTTTTATAACCTGTAAGACTGGCTTTATTCCTAGCATTCGTCTGATTTCATGATTTCGTATTCTGTCTTTCCTTGAAACTCCTGCAGCTCTTCTAAGGCATTTAATCTCTGTTGTCACAATTTTACGTTCGTTGGAAGATGTAAGTGTCCACGTTTGGCATTGATAGCATAGTGATGGCCAAAAAATAGTTCTGATAAGATTCACTTTAGTACTCCGAGGTATCTGCTTGTGTGTCAACAGGGGAGTTAGTTGCCCCATTACTTGATTAGCTTTGGCACATATGGAGCTACAAATAAGGTAACTATACAAAATATTACAAGAATTTTTGTCATTCAGTGCATCCTGAAATATTGTAGCAAAATTATTTAAATATACCAAAGATTTTGGCATAAACTGTAGCAAGAAACATTAGAAACATCAAACAGCTCACATTTTCATTAGGAAAAATGTAAAATTACTTAGAAATACCACTAAGCCACACATATTTTATAATATACTAATTTAATATATTACACGAAGAAATACAGTAGTAAACTATTTAAAGACACCACACAATAATACTCATTTTTAACACACTTTTTTTTCTGTATACAAGAAGTATTAAGTTACTTTAGTAACACTACACAGCAAAACACATTTTGGCATATTCTCTAAAAGTAAATGTAAAAAACAACAACACAGCAATACATATGTTGGTGTATACTCCTAGCAAGAAGTGTAAAGTCACTTAGAAACAACACAGCACACAATTTGGCATATACTCCCAATGAGAAATATAAAATCGCATAGAAACACCACTCAGCAGTCTTATTTTTACATAAGCTGCCTTCATGAAGTTACTTAACACCACTCAAGACACATTTTTGCATATACTCCAACAAGAAGTGTAAAATAACGCAGAAGCATCACACAACAACAAGCAACTTGTTGTATATTCCCAAATTGAATTGTAAAGTTTTTTAGGAACACTCCTGAGGAAACGCAGGATGGACTTATAATCAAACTGCTACAGACACCACTGTAACTGCAACTCTTTGTTGACTGCGGAAGATGAGGATGACACAATTATGGGAATGTCCCGAATGCTGTGATGTCAGTTCAAAGCTCAGCATTCAACAGAAACACCAAATAACCATATCCGTTTTTTTCAGTTATTGCCGCTAGAATTTCTGTAAGGATGCTTGGAAATATCTTGACGTTGTTTTCACAGTCTTTCCAATAGTTATCTGTGCAGGTCAGTTAACATTCCATTGTTTGTTTGAATGTGAACAATTTATATCTATTTCCATGATAACCAGCATGTTAAGCCTGTTGTTTTTATTTGTAGGGATGTTTATCTGATTGACCTGAATATACAACTACAGTGGTATCTCGAGTAGCCCAACCTAAAGTGTTCTTTGACTCAGTTCATGAACTGAAATGCTTGCGAGCAGAAACAATTCTGCCCATTGAAATCAGTACAGATCCAATTAATTTGTTTGCCTGCCCCAAAAACATCCTTTTTAAAAAAAAAATTTTTGTATGGTTTTATGTGTGAGAAAAAAAAATAACGTAAAATATACAGTGTAACCATATCTCTGTGGTTGATAGCTGCAGGCACAGGTAGATGGTAAAGGAGGAGGGGTAACGCTATCCCTTCAAAGGAAAGTCCCATTCCATAATAAATTCGGGCAGCTGTATAGGTATTTCTGGTATTTTTACAATCTTGTTTATATCATGGGAAGTGGTTCAATTACTTGCTTGATGGCTAACACACAATTTTTAACTTCTTCTAAGACTTGAGACATTTGCTTCGTTAACATCGTCACTCCTTAAGCTACATCAGCCGTTTTCAAGTAACTTTGTTCTTTTAGGTAGTACAAATCGTAGATTTAGTCTGTCATACTGCTTGGGGAAATTTGAAACACAAACAGTGTTTTCATAATTAGTTAATATTTCCTTCTTTGTTTCTACTGTAATCAATTAAGCTTCTTTACACTACTGCCATTAACACTTTTCACTTTCTTGGGAGCCATAATGAAGGTTCATTTCATGCACACAAAAAGAAAACAAATCGTATTAAGAACAACACAGTGACCAACAGTGTTCACAACGCACAAACCTGAGTGCAACGGATGCTGTTTGTAAGCCCCAAAAATGGCACCAAGCCATGTTTTTGCGTTTAGGGACTGAAGCATTGTTTGTGAGTTGAGTCCAAATTTGTTCAGAAATTGTATTAATGGGCTAATTTGTTCGTGATTAGAGGCGTACATGACCCTGAGGTACCACTGTTTATGTTTAAATAGGTTTATATATAGCATCATAAATGGAAATGCACTTTCCATGTAAAGTAGATGCTAGTTGAAGAATACCATAGAAGATTGAGGTTTGATTCTAGGTGAGACACCTCACTGGTCTTGGTAAGGAAAGAAACAGACAGTATTTGTAAAATGTAAGCTAAAGGACCATTATCCATTCCTATAGTCACACTGGGTAACTGGTACAAAGCTTGTAGTCTTTTATACACTAATTAACAGTCAGTGTGGTATATATATATATATATATATATATATATATATATATATATATATATATATATATATATATATATATATATATATATATATATATATATATATATATATATATATATATATATATATTATCAGCAGCTTATTAGATATGTCTAACTATTGAAAATGAAAAAAAAATGAAAAAAAAACAGAAGGAACAAAATCACTAGTGACAGAATAAGTCCTTTACATTCAAAACCTTTTCAGCATAGAAAAACAAAAGGACAGTACAACAACATAAAAAGGCCACAGAAAAGTAGACTAGTCTAAATGACTATATTCTACCTACAGTAGAACCTCGCTTAATGAGCACCTCTCATAACGAGTAATTCGCATAACGAGCAAAACAGATTGTAAAAGAATGACTTGCTTAACGAGCAACGTTTTGCATAACGAGTGGCCAGGAGAGGAGAATTCCTAGATTCCTAGATTTTGCACATGTTACGTCAGTCTGTGTTTAGCACTCGTTCCAGTAGCATCGTAGTGTCGCTTGTGGTCACACATTTTCTCAAACTTGTGTTATATTGTGTTATATGTACATGAATAAAAATTAATTAAATTAATTATTAGGAAGATAATTAGGAAATACATTTGTAATTTTGTGTGTGAAAAGTTAACCGTCTCAAAAATATCCCCGAAGAAAAAGCCGCAAGAAAACTGCCATAAAAGAGTAAAAATAACCATAGAAACGAAACATCAAATCATTGAAAAGCGAGAACGAGGTGTAAGCGTGGCTGATCTATCACGCACATACAATCGGTCTACATCAACGATTTTCACTGTCCTCAAGAACAAGGACAAGATAAGGAGATATAAGCTTCACAGGAAGTAACAAGAATATTTGCGCAATGGTTGCATATTCTCGACGATGTTAAAAGGTGGCTTCTCGTATGGATGAATGAAAAGCAATTGCAAGAGACACTATTAACGAGAACGTCATTTATGAGGAGGCCAAAATGATGAGCATTGTTTTCAGGTGACTGAAGGGACCAACTTCACTCTCAGAGAGTTTTGGAAAAATCACTTCCAGATCGTTGCCTACCTCAGGATGATCGTCAAGGCGTGGGAAGGGGTTATGAAGAGAACCCTATCCTCCTGTTGGTTTGTATGAAGACAGGTAACACAATCGGATACAGTGCCAAGAGGTGTCATTGGACACTTTCTAAGCTCAGTATGTAATCTCTAATGGTGCCTTGGGTCTTGCCTCTGAAGCCATTTAATGGCATGCAGTGTTTATGATTTTGAAATCGATTTAATTGCAGTGAAATTGTCACTCCTGTTTTTTAATAATTCTAATGTGAAATAAAATATTCTGAATGTTTAAGCACACAAATTGCACACTTACATACATAATGATATTCACACACATACATAATGATATTCACTCACATACATAAGGATATTCACACACATACATAATGATATTCACACACATACATAATGATATTCACACACATACATAATGATATTCACACACATACATAATGATATTCACTCACATACATAATGATATTCACACACATACATAATGATATATCACACACATGAACACCAACAACCCTGGTGACTGTCATCTTGCATTACATAAAAGGCAGAATAATATAACAATAAAACAGAAATATTTAGATTTAAGTTGAATGTTTAGGTTCAATTAAGAATCAGCATCACAGCACTCAGGACATTCCCATAAGTGCTCCGTCTCCATCTTCAACAGCAAGCACAGAATTCCAGGTCCAGTGGTACCAACAGCAGTCTGTGTATCCATCTCACTTTTTCCTTGATTGCTGATCATCAACCAAATCCCATGGTCATTCCTTGCAATGCCATTCTCTTCACCTCCACTCTCAATCTAGACATTGTGGTCTCACATGCCAGGCTTTGTTGCACCAAGCTATGTCCATTCACGTTTGTTAAGAACCCCCCATGAGCTTCGTCTGCCTCTCAACACAGAGCCATCTGTACAGAGTGTCACCTCAGTGAGAATTGTCGTGAATCATTTGT